GCCTTTTTTCTTCAGTTGTTTGATTTTTTCATGAAAATCACTACCCTGAATGTGACATATTATAGTAATTAATTCTTGTGCTAAATCCTGTATATAAAATCTGCGTCATTGCATTGAGTTGCTACAGCTGCAATCTTTTTCTTCTCCAGATCAACTGGACCTTGCAATGATGATGAAAACCTTTGTGGCCATACTTCCTGCCTTCCATGCAAAAAGAACGGTCCTTGATAACACATCAGTTGGGTTGTCCTTTGACCTAACATGTCGCCACTGCTCACACAGAGTTAAAGTTTGATTTCTTGCCACCCTGTTAGCTACAAATGTTTGAAATGATGAGGACTGTGAATTGATCCAAGACAACACAATATCTGAATCAGTCCATAAAAATATTGGCTGGTCCTTTTCCTGAAGACCACTTTTGACTCTTGCTGAAAGTTCCGCTGCTAGGACTGCCGCACATAACTCAAGTCGCAGTAGCGTTTGTTTTCTGAGTGGTGCTACTATTGACTTTGCACATAATAGTCACACTATTATTCTACCGTCCTATAAAATTGCTCTGATATATGCTGCAGCACCATATGCCTTTTCAGATGCATCAGCAAAAATATGTAGCTGTGTTGATGATGGAACCTCGCCTCTGAAGATATGTCTTGCCACTTGAAGGTTTTCAAGAGTACTTAAATTTTCTCTAAATGTTGACCATGTTGTACGAAGATCTGTAGGAAGTGGTTCATCCCAAGATAATTTCAATTGCCATAAGTGTTGTATGAATATCTTTGCTTTCACTATTACACTATTTCACTATTAATAAATCAAGTGGGTCGAACAGTCTAGCTAAATCAGAACTTACGATTATCATTATTATTATATTATTATTATAAATCAGAACTGATTATTCCTGATTATTCCTTGAGAAATATTTTTCAAAAGTTGAGGATGGTTTGCGCTCCATTTCCGTAGATAAAAATGATGCTTCTTCAAAGTATGGATTAGTTGTCTTTGAGCTTCAATAGCCGTATTTAAACTATCTGATCCACAAAGCCAATCGTCAACGTAGAAATTGTCACACAGGATTTGAGCTTCTAATGGATAGTTCATCTTGTTTTCTAATGCTATCTTTTGCAGACATCTTGTTGCCAGATTAGGAGCTGCTCGAGTCCCATATGTAATTGTGTTTAGCTGATAATAACGAATCGTTGAATTTGGACTGCTTCTCCAAATGATAAGTTGACAGCGCCGATCTTCAAGATTGACGACACATTTTCTCGATATCTGTGGTGAAAACAAACCGTGGTCGCCTGAAACGGAGCAAAATTGAAAAGAGTTCGCTTTGAACTGTCGGTCCGTTATACATTAAATCATTCAACGAGTGTCCAGATATAGTATTAGCTGATGCATCAAAAACCACTCGAAATTTAGTAGTTGTACTATCTGGTTTTAGACCCAATCGTTCATACTCTTCCATAAACTGCACATATTGTTTCCGCAACACATCATTTTTTGATAGTAGTCGTTCAAGACTGATGAGCCTTCTCCAAGCTGTTTCTTAAGATTCGCCTAACGTCAATGTGTTTTCCAGAAACGGCTTTTGTATGAACGTTCTGAACAAAAGATTCGCATAATTTTTTTTCTTTGGATAATGTCCTCTCTGTTGTATTCACCTCATCCATTCGCCATAATCGTTCAATTGCATCTTCTAACGATGAATTATTATCAACAGCCTCCACGCCACCTCCAAAAACTGCACATAAAACGTTTGATGTGTCTGTATTTGATGCAACCTTGCCACTGACAATCCAGCCAAGTGTAGAATTTTGCAAGACTGGAAGCCCAGAAGCAACCGTGATTTTACCCTTTTTTAACACACTGAAATAGAACTCCGCACCGAGTAAAATATCAAATTTTCCTTGTTGGAAAATGTTGCATCTGCTAACTGAATGCTATTCGGGACCTTCCATTTGGAAATATCGTAGCTGGAACTTGGTTGAGGTGGAACTATGTTTGGAAGCACAAGCGCTTCGACTTCTATAGTGAACCTCGAGTTAATGTGAACCTCGAGTTTGATGTTAACGCGCTGCGTTGAATTTTTGTGCACCTTTCACATACCTTCTATGCACAATAACGATTTTGTTTTCGATATATTGAGCCTTTTGACAAGACGCTCAGAGACTATGTTCACTTGTGAACCAGAGTCTAGTAATGCTCGGACTTCACTTGTATTTCCATTAGCTGCAGTTATTTTGACTCTTGCAGTTGGCAAAAAAACATATTTACGATGACCTGTGGATGTGTTTGCTGTCGCTGTAGTAACTGCGGTATTGTACCCACTTGAAATAGGTTGCATGTTTTGTTTTGTCTGATTGTTAGTTTCCAAATGTAGCAACGTGTTATGCTTTTTATTACATTTGGTACAACTTCTTGATAAACATTTGTACATCACGAGATCATTCTTGAAACAGTTGAAACAGAGGTGTTGGTTTTTCACCCAATCCAATCGTTGCGAGGGCTCAAATTGCAGGATTTCACGGAAATGGTACAGTGGGTGCCTGTCTACATTGCACAGTTTGCAATTGTTGTTTCCTTTAGAAGCTGTTACAGCCGACGAATCTGATTTATTTCGGTCTGCTTTAGTTTTTATGGCCACCTTATCTTTTAGTTCTACAACTTTCATCAGTTGAAATTGTAGCTCTAAAAAGGCTAAAAACTCCTGAATGTTTTGTATCTCTTTTGGTTTTGGCAGAGATTGCTCATATCTAATGAGCATCGTTCGATCGAGTTTTTTTTATTAGTACCTGTAACAAAATTGGGTCCCAAAAAGTCGTTTGAACGTCAAGATTGTTCAGTGCTAAAAGACATTCTTTCGTTGTGTCATGTAAATTTTTAACTGCTGCCACAGTTGATGTGCCTGATGGCTGATTTAGAAGTTCATCGATTAACGTGGACGACAAGACCCTTTTATTATTATAACGGTCTTGCAGTAATGTCCAAGCTGCCGAATAATTGTCCTCCGTTATGCTGAAATGACATCAATTTTTCAGCTTCACCTGTCACATGTGATTTCAAATACTACATTTTTTGAGCAGCTGGCAATGGCTGTTTGTCTACTATTTGTGTAAATAAGTTAAAAAATTTCCTCTATTTTAAGTAATTCCCATTAAAACTTGGGTTTGATACCTTTGGCAATGGCAGTGAGGAACGCATATTTGTTTCTGCTACTGCTGCTTGTTTGTTTTGTAGTTGATCCAGTTTTATGGACAGCTCTATCTAACATTGTAGTACCAAATCTTCAATTTGGTAATATTCATCTTGGTTAAATCCTGACGATAGTGGATTTTCCAAGTTTTCCCACAGTTCATCATGCAAACATCCCAGTTGGTTCCACTGTTGCATGATCGTGTTTGATTTAATTCCGTAGTATTGAATTGGCTGTATGCCTTCGCTCTCTGACAAGCTCTCTACTAATCTTTTTGGAGCTGCCATTCGAGCAGTTATTTTCCTTATCAAACCATTTGTTGTAGCCACTAGTTGCGGCTGTGATACCATTTGGTTACTAGCACCTTCACCAAAATTGTCTGCTGCTTTGATTCGAAGGGCTTCTATCTTGAATATTTCAATATATTCATTTGTTACTTCTTTTATTTTATCACAGTAACAAGATGTAAAATACTCATCATCTGTTGGTTGATCGATGAGAGTTCTAAGCGTTGTGTCATTTTGTTCAAATCGTGTCCAGGCAACATTAAGCCTACGTAACCTTTCACTATAGTATGCGGATGCTTGCTTGCGTTCAGCCGAATCTCTTTTGAAATTCCTAACGAGTCGCTGAATTTCTTCGCACATCTCCTCCTGGGCATCTTGGAATTCATTAAGAGTTGCCATCGATGATCTGGAGTTTTTGCCAAATGTGCTACGAATGGTGAATGCTGAAACTTAACTGCTGAATGTTGATTGTTGCCTTCGTTGAACTTGAGTTAAAATTTTTGTAGTTCAAAATGTACTTTAAATGACGCTGATTGTTGACTGCTATGTTGACTATTGACCGCTGCTGCGTCAGACCAGTCCAGTGCTGCTGTCCGTTTCACGGGGTCACCAAAAAATGTACGATCAACGTTGATCACACATTTTGGTTTGATCGTGCAACTACATTTTCATTAAAATACGTTCCACTTTATTTTTTACATACATTCCAGAATGTGAACCAGAATGTGAACCAGATCAATTGTTGGTTCATCCCATTATTTTCGTTTTGCATGTAAAATTGAGCGGATCAGCTAATATATGTGAAAACTGATTCTCTTCCCACATTGGTTCCTAATATATTTTGAGATTCACTATTATACTTAAGTTAATCTGCATTTTTAATCCACCATTTACATTATACATTGGAGATTATTTTGATGTTTCTCTTGGTGTGGTTTGCTTCGTGTGCTTTATAAATTTCTGTAAATAAAGCATTTAAGTATAATTTTGTACAAAAAACTTGTAATATAATTTTAGTAAATAGTTTTATAATATAATAATAATTTAATAAATTTTAGTTATAATTATGTACAAAACTATTATAAAACAAATTTATTAAAAATTTACTCCAGCATTTTCAATATTTGTTTTGAATAGACTTTGACATATTTTTTGTAATTCCTCTAAGAACTTAAAAAAAAATTCTACGATATTAAACCATTTGCAAAGTTGCGCAGAAAAATAATTACCATTTCTTAGAAGATAAAAATTAATCTCGACCAACTGAGATGAACTTTTGTATGGAAAATCTGTGATTGAACAACTAGATTAGTACTTTGATATCGATTATTCCTTTAATCTACTTTTAATCTCACAATGTAGACTACAAAGTGAGCATCACGCGCTATTTAAGTGAAAAATGTAATAATTATCTAAGAATATAGTTAGTATTATACTCATAAAAATTTATTTAAATAAATCTCAAAATCAAAAATATATACATATTTAAAAAGTAAATAAGTAAATCTCTCAACATCCAGGATTCACCTTTATCTTCTAAGGTTGCTATGTTTAATAATCATGCAGAACAACATCAACAATCGCAATTAAGAAATCCATTCTCAGGCAGAAATGAACGATCCTCACCTAAGCCGTCGTTTTCAAAAGATGAATATGGCAAGTAAGTCAAGTCTTAAATACTCTATAGAAACAATTATTTTATTAAAATATTCATTTAATAATAAAAAAATTTTTTTAGACCCAAAGCTGGTAGTTTAACCGAAATGCGTGGACAAAAAGCTAATATGCATATTCTTAAGGAAATGGTCGAATTATGTCAGATTATAGACTCTGAAGGCTATAAAGTAACTGATGAGCCAAGCATGCGTGTCATTCCGTTTGGAGAATTATTTAACGTAGGATCAATATATTTTCAATTCTTATTGTAAAGAATACTCTAATTTTTTCAGATTTATAATTCAATTTCTGACAAAGTGGTAGGCATACTCTTGCGCGCACGTAAGCATAAACTAGTATCATTTGAAGGCGAAATATTATTTCAACGTCGTGATGATGATGTTCCAATATTTTTATTGAAACCGATTAAAGAAATATGTGATGATCTACATCTTAAAATTGAAGAAATAAAACGTGCGTCAAGTCCGGCACCTCAAGCAACTAGTGTGTTAATGGATAGATCAGGCATGAAATTATCCTGTAGCTCCAGAAACTCGGTATCTCCAAGTGCATCAACGGGAACCTCACCTGTTCGGAAGTTATTTGTTGCTGCAATAGATCCAGAGCTTGACAAAAATCATACAACTATCCATATATTTGCACCAGAAATGCTAGAGAATGCTAAAAAGCTTAATCCTGAATTAAATAATCATACCAAACCTGACGAACAAAGAAACGTGATCCCAAAACTTATAACTGAACAAAAAGTAAAAGCAGAGCATGATGTCGTGAGCGAGACAGAAATATTTGAATCTTTTACAGAAATTGAAAAAGAAAATTTGTTACTGAAAAAGCCGGATAAAACATTCATTGAAAAATTACCAACCGAAATAACTATAAATACTGAAATGCCAATAGTGATTATGGAAGCTACAGCCGAAAATGAACGCAGTTCTGAAATATTAACATTAAAAAATCCTTCTACCACTACTAAAAATTATTTACCTTAGTAAGTAGAAAATTGTAAACAATTTTTCTTTTAACCACATAAAAGAAACAAATACAGTCCTAAAAGAATGATTGTGCACATTGAAATAAAATTCACTATTTTAAGTTATAATCGCAAAAAGAATTTTTTTTGTTTAAATATAAAGATTTTGATGATCAATTTTCATTAATTAATATATTACGAATTTAAATATGACAAAAAATTCCAGCAGTTTGTTGTAAAATTAACGAAATATGCAACAAAAAACAAAGCATTTTTTGACTGTAAAGTAACTATTTGCACAACTGGAATGTTCGTATTATTTTGCATCATTTAAAGAACTGTGCAGACTGTCATTTTTGAGCGTCGTTCAAGAGAGAAAATTCATATGTTGTAAATTAAAAATTGTTATATATATATATATATATATATATATATATATATATATATATATATAAAATATCCAAAATGTTATGTATAAAAAATTGTTGATATCTCCAATATTTGATATAGGTTTTAAAACACATATTCCCACTTGTAAAAGTTTGTGGTTTACTATATTATGTAACCAAAAATTAAAGGGCGGGGGGTTTTGTTCGTTGAATTATTGTATGTCCAATATCAAAATAAAATTACCAACCTCTTATTTTCTCTTATTTCTTTACTTATCATTATTTATTAAGCATTTCCTTCTTGATCCTTGTTAACAGTCTTATTATTCTTTGTTACACATTTTTTGTTTTTTCAAACTTTAAGTTACAAATCTCTGTTTAAAACTATCGTGTTATCGACTATTCTCTTTATGTACGATTACGATTTTTAGCTTACTAACTAGATAAAAATTACAATAAGCAGCATAATATAGATGAAATTACAACAACCAATATAATCTATATGAAATTACAATATTAGATTAACACACAATATCTTAGCCGTATTGTAGAGATATTACCTCCTTAAGAGCTCAGACTGAACTGAAGTGAGCTGCTCGTGCCGTGGCACGCGACTTATATGTTTATTCACTTCATTGATAAAAAAAAAAAAATAATAATTTTAATTCACAAAACAAATTTTAATTTTTATTAAAATTTTATTTCCCAAAATATTTGTTGTTGATCCAAGATGTTTTACAAAATATTATTTTCCAACTTTAACTTCGGTTAAAGGTATCTTAAGACTGAGTTCTAAATACAAAATCAATATCTTATAACATATACTACTTACAATTCATAATTGGCGAAAGTGGATGAAAGGTAACAATAAAAATTTGGTAACCTGTTGACAAATGAGGGTAATTGCATTGTTTATGTTAAATGCTGATGCAGTTTGAGAAATGCTCAAATGCAATAGGTTTTGTGATATAAATTGCTATGAATTAAAATATTGTTTTAATTATTTAGAAATTTTAATTCTGAATAATGAAATTTAGAAATTTTGTTTTGCTTATTTAGAGGAAGTTAAAGTATCGTGGGATAAAATATTATTTCGATACATTAATGGTTCTGCAACTAGAATAGTTATAAAGAATTACGTTTTGTAATTAATGTTTGGAAAGTGTCACTATTAAGCAAATTTGGTAATATAGGAAATATACCGTGGGATAGGTAATTATTTAGGGCACTTATGAGACATATACTGTCGAATTTAGCAATTTATTATTAATAGGAAAATTTGATCACATAGACCAATTAATAGGAATATTGTGAAGTGGTGGCGAAACCAATGACCAATGTGTTTATTTATTGCTTACGAAAACTCAATCCATTCGGTTTTAAAGCACAGTCAAAAAATTTCACTTAAGATACATATCCACAACTTATCAAATCCTCATTAAGAGTGTGTACCCGAACTACTCGCAGGAATAGAAAACTAGAACAGATTTTTCTTCAAGAATATCTCTTCTTCTTACTTTAGTCAGATTATTCAATCTTTGATTCACTGAATGAGACATGCTCCAAAAACCCAGAAAATTTTAAAAATTAATTAAAAATTAAAATTTATTTTGTAATAATTATTTTGCGTAATTCAAAACATTATTCGTTCTACATATTTTACAATCTTCACCTTGTCACAATTTTTTTCCAGTCATTTACAATAGACAGATAATAAATATTAACAAAAATCATCATTTCTTTTTGGCGAATTGTCTTACCGACTTTTCGACTTTTTGATAATATTTATGCAACTGCAAATAGCTTTGCCTAGTTTTAGGTGGTCTTAGATCGTATGTGACCATAAAGATTGCTATGAAATTATTATTAATAAACTTTTAATTTTTTAAATTTTTTCAAAAGTCAACTCTTGAATGTGACCAGTTCAGCCGGTAGAATAAATTTGAGCAAGAGAGCGCAACTTAAATGACATCAAAAATGATAGTTTGCACTGTTTAAACGACATGCGATAACGTATGAAAATATCGTTAAAACCCACCTTCACAGCTTATGCAAAATATGTTGTCATGATAAAAATATGAAAAAAACGGGAAACTTTGAACAGGGTCCATACTATGGAACTCAGAGAAGAATATAATGGTACTGTTTTTTATATAACAGAGCGTGGGGCCATAACGCGGAGCAAACACTTATCAAGTGTTTTTAGTAGACGTTCATTGCGTTCTTGTCCACTACTATGTTCTTTTCGCCGCTTGTTAAATATTGAGACGATGTTATAATCTCCCATAAGTCATAAATCGCAGACCTACCAGAGTGTGGGTTAAGGCGTTTACATCATTATTATTGTACGCAATACATGTTTCCTGTTAAACTTTAAAAATTAAATTTTACAATTTAAAACTTCATTTCAAGCAGGACTGAGGATTCCACGGCGCTGCCATTGTCAAATCTATATGACTTTTATGAAGTACCAGCCTTCAAAAGACTATGTGTAAAATTTCATGACATTTCGATTAGTCAGGAAAAAGTGACAGCCTTTTAAGTGAAGTTACTTTTGTTATTTTCAAAACAATGGATTGAAAACAATTTCGTGTGTTAATTTATTATTGCTTCTTGATGAAAAAAAGTAATGTACAAGCTCAGCAATGGCTTCGAAAGTGTTATTCGGACTCTGCTCCATCGAAAAAAGCCATTTGTTATTGATTTGTTGAATTTAAGCATGGTCGCACAGACACCGGTGATAGTGAACGTTCTGGTCGTCTAATTGAGGTGGTTACTCCAGAAATTGGTTATATCTGATCGTGAATGGAAATTACATGAGATAGCTGAGACCGTAAAGATATCAAAAGACAGTGTGTTTACAATTATGCATGAACATTTGACCATGAGAAAGCTCTTTTCAAAGGGGTTGCCGCGTACTCACAGTCGATCAAAAACAACAACGTGTTGATGATTCAGAGCAGTGTTTGACCATGTTTACACGTAATAAATCAGATTTTTTGCATCAATATGTGACAATGGATGAAACATGGATCCATCACTTCACTCCGGAATCAAAACGATCATCATCTGAGTGGATTGCAGCCGGTGAACCACGCCCGAAGCGTCCAAAGGCACAACAGTCAGCTGGGAATGTTATGGCTTCAGTATTTTGGGATGCACATGGTATAATCTTCATTGACTATCTCGAAAAGGGAAAAACCATCAATAGTAACTACTACACGGCATTACTGGATCGTTTGAAAGCAGAAATTGTGAAAAACCGACCGCATATGGTGAAGAAAAAAATTTTGTTTCATCAAGGCTGTTAGAGCGGTTAAAGTCAAATTGTTAATATTGTAGGATTCTGTAGAATTATTAATTGACGTGTTATATGATTTATATATTATAATTTATTATATTTTAATCTATTATAAATCATATTGTATAATTAAATTATTATAATTAATATATTATATAATTCATATATATATATAATATTTTATATGGTTAATATATGGTTAATTAATTTATCTAACTAACCCTGTATAAGATGTAATCAAACCAACGGTTCTAAGTCTTGTTTTATTGCCTTTTGTTTTTTGCGCTCGAGATGAGCAAATTTTATTGTTATATTTTTTGGCTGCAAGTAAACTCCGTTGGTTTGATTCTGTCTCTTGTTTTTCGATCGCGAACGTGTCAACACACGGGTACACATAAAAAAGTGATTAAACAATCAATTACCGAAATTGTATAAATTCAATTGTATAAATTAAATGAAATCAAAACCCAATTATAAAAACGTTTATAATTTACATTGTGTTAAAGAAATTGAAATAAAGATCATAAAACCCAATTATAAAAACGCTTATAATTTACATTGGCGACCGTGACAGGACTTTTTGCAATTTTAATAGTGGTTATTAATCTCCAATTTGTTAAAAAATCTAAATATTACCCACGTGTGGTAATCATTTTTTCTTTAAGTTTGTAACCATTAAAGTGCGCGTGTGAATATTTCCTCTAACCAGTTATATAGCTAACGCGTGCTAACTATCATAATATATCATACATCTATATATATACTACATATGTACTATCGTATGTATATACTATTGTCCAATTGGTGGTTCTCGGTTTAGGTCCGCTAACCTCAAAACAGAACCTCGTGTCCGCATCAAGATCGCGCTCGACAGTTAAATTCACAACAACAAGATATCTTTACTTGTTGATTGTACATACTTTCGCTTTTATTGTTTTTGGATAATTTGTAACCATTAATGTGCGCGTGTGAATACTTTTTCTAACCAGCTATATAGCTAACGTGTGCTAACCATTATAATATATCGTACATCTATATATATTACATATGTACTACCGTACGTATATACTCTTGTGCAATTGGTGGTTCTCGGTTTAGGTCCGCTAACCTCAAAACAGAACCTCGTGTCCGCATCAAGATCGCGCTCGACAGTTAAATTCACAACAACAAGATATCTTTACTTGTTGATTGTACATACTTTCGCTTTTATTGTTTTTGGTTAATTTGTAACCATTAAAGTGCGCGTGTGAATACTTTTTCTAACCAGCTATATAGCTAACGTGTGCTAACCATTATAATATATCGTACATCTATATATATTACATATGTACTACCGTACGTATATACTCTTGTGCAATTGGTGGTTCTCGGTTTAGGTCCGCTAACCTCAAAACAGAACCTCGTGTCCGCATCAAGATCGCGCTCGACAGTTAAATTCA